AAGCTAATTACCTGCGCCATGGAGGTTATGTTTTTGGTTTACAGAAAAAACTACAGGCCCAATTTTCATTAAACTTGGTGGAAGGGTGTACCATAGGCCAAGGAAGAACTTATTCAAAATTATTTTTCACTTTCATTAACATTGCAAGATAGGTAGATAATTGTAATACAGATGCAATGCAGATTTTTTCTTTGGTTTTGGTACATTTATGTACAGTTTCATCCAAAGAGCACCTGTTGATTTCCTTCTGCTTTAGTAACTGTTAATATAAGATCTGAAGAATGAACCTTTTTTTTCTGTAAATGTAGGAGTATAAATAACAGTCATACTGTTTTCTTTACATTCTCAGTCATGTAGTTAAACCCTCAATGATTGTCTTAATTCTTGCCAATGGGTGTCCATAATCGCACAGTACACCGCTGATGTATTGCTATTCTGTGTTATTTGGTACTCACTGGTCATGTTGAACTTGTGCAGCACCTTGGCGAAGTACTCCTCCTCCTCCTGTTCTGTGGAGATGTCTGTCTGGACCTCAGTCTGCTGCTCCTTCAGCATCTCCTTGGTGCTGTTGTAGAGGGACAACAGGGGGGTAGGGATCTCCTCCTCGTCTCCAGCCTGATCCGGCTCAGGCTCTTTGGGCAAACGCAGTTTGCTAAGGATCTGGCTCCTAATGGCTTCAATGCGCTTTTTCTTAACCATCTCCAGGTCCAGCGTCTTACATGTAGACATACCACTTACGTTGCCAACTGTGTACACAACCATGAGCATCAAGAACGCCAGCTTCATGGTGCCAACTGGAGTGTTTGCAGCTACTTATGCTCTTTGGTTCTTAGCAAATCCTCTCTCACCTTTTCTTTCACTGCCTGCCTCCAACCGGGGATGCTCAGGGAACAGTGAATCACTCCGTGGAGAGGTGTGACTGACGCAAAGTGTTTACACACAGCAGAACAATTAAAGCACTGTAGAGAGTCCTGAAAGTTCAGGGTTACTGGTGCCACAGCTGTCGCTGCTGCTGTGAAAACCACCTAACACTTGTGTCTTCTTTGCATAGAAACAGGTGGAGAGAATCCCAGTGGGCAGACAGACATCGAGTGATGAGCCAGCCTCTGACTCAGCCACACAGGTAACACAATGACGTCTAAGACACTGAAGTGAGTCCAGAGTTAAGCTGTCAAATGCTAACAGAGTCCAGCCAAAACATGCACATAGCCAGCACCCCCAAGGCTCAAAAGACCTCTCCAGCACCCATCAGTCTAAAATAATTCACCAACACTCGAATACTCAACAGATATGGCTCTGAACTCACAGCAACTTGCGATTGAAATGGTTTCAAGCCTCCACCTGCAATATTGAATTTGAATCCTGTCTTACTCGAAGCAAGTATACTGTAGACACCTCCACGTGTCAGCTCACTGCTGTATTGCTCACCAGGCAGTCTCTCTTTACATGTCCCCGGAGATCAGCCTAGCGAATGTGAAGGCAGCTGTATAACACTCAGCAAAATGAAGAGTGGTGTTGGCAGAGCTCAACTTACTTACTATCTTTTCAGCTGACACAGCTTCCTGTCCCACAAGGTCTCTTCACAGATCATTCAGGGCTATTGTACATGTATGTGGTGTCAAATAGGCCCTCACTAAATGTGTTTAAGGAACAGAAAATATCATTAATACGTCCTGTGCTTAAAGTGGAAAAAAGGCCCTCCTATTTCTCTGTTTTCTGTTTTTTGAAGTTTGATCAGATGACCTCTGGCTTCCTTTACAGCCCAGATAAAACTCTCAGGGGCTTTGAGTCAGCCCGGAGCTAATCAAATACCCACAGTGCAGGGGAGGAAAAGATAACGTAGTATATAAAAATCTCACTTTCACTAACTTATCCCTTACTCCAGTCACTTATGCAGTCAAGCCATTAATAAATGTCCCTACAGAAAAACATCTGATAAACTTGTATCGCTGTCCGCTCTGACTACCTCTTTTTTAGAAATTACAGCATGTGATCTGTGTACAGCTACAGTTCACCAGAAAATGCTTTCAACACCTCTAACTCGTGCCTACTTCACACACAGATCAACTGTCTTTGTATCTGTTTCTTCATTCTTATACACAATAATCTCCTTCTGTCAATCACAAACACTGTCCTCATGTAACCAAAATGTTAAAGTTGGACACACCTTCTCTTTAAATGAGTGTACTATCCAGACACAGCAGCAGTAACGACAGCAGTAGCAGGAGCAACAGTTCCTCTTTGCTCTCGCTGTTTTGGGAATCAGATTGCAGTCTCGTCTCTGTCCTCTCCTCCCTCTATTCATCCATCGGTATCACCTCTTTTATGCCCTCTGCAGCTCCTTCACACCTTCCCTCTTCATTCGCCTCTAACACAACTCCCTATTCCCACCTTTATTTAACTCCCTGTCTCTCTCCCTTTCTTTCCCGTGCGCTCTCTCTCTCTCTCTCTCTCTCTCTCTGTCTCCTTGTGCTTGTCAGAGCTTGCTGGTGACAAACTGATTTGTGGGAGCTCTGAGCTCAGCTAACTTTTCTCTCACACTCACTCGCTCTGTAGCTCTCTCTCTCTCTCTCTCTCTCTCTCTCTCTCTAAAACTCTTCTTTTTTTTCTGGTTCCTGTTAGTTGTCTAATACAGAGAGCAGCTCTCCGCCCAGGAAATGAGGGTAACGGCCGCAGTGTAAAACATCTGCTGTTTAACAGAGCTCTGCTGCCTGCCCTGTGTCCACATCAGGAAGCCAGGAGCTGAACACACTGAATAACTGCTCTCTCACACTCTCTGGCCTGTCTGCCACTGAGGCAGTGATGACTGACATGTCAACAAGCCTTGCATGGCACCAGTGTCTTGCCAAACTGACAGAAACATTTACCCTGTGGCTGCGAAGGTGAACGCCTGCCTAAATGTCTAAAAGTAGAACGGTGAATTTGAAGGGATGGAGAGCCAACAGGGCTGAGCTGTGTGGTGCACTGTCCTTGGTCTGGGTTATTTTTTAGAGGTTTAGATTGTGTATTTTCAAAAGGAAGGCTTGACTAAAACAAAGCATTGATGGTTTCAATCATTCTGTCTCTGTCTGAGGGATGATTCAACAGGGAAGTAAAGATAGTAAATTACCATTGTACAGTCTTTGTTCTTGGAATTTTTTAAGGTTATGCCCATATGTGTTTCCCATGGGTGTCTATTTTGTTCCATTCACCAGGATAGTTAGGAAGAATGAGCCATTCATCAAACACCAGCAATAAATGGTGACATTTACCATAGGGAAACTCTAGGTAAAAATCCCCTAAAATACTTGCAATAATAAAAACAGAAAACAATGAGATACTATTGATAAGTTGTCCCACAGTATCAACTGCACTATATATCTGATTACTGTTAATGATAAAAGGGTGAGAACAAAATAAGTGTGACTGTCAAATGTCAAGAACTATTACTGTAACGTGTCCTGTTGTGTTGGCCTGTAGGAACTTTGATGTGTGTGCCCTGCCACCTGGTGGTCAAAGGCGATACATCATTTATAGGAGGACTATTTTTTATACATTTTTTCTGATCTAAACTTTTTTCGCACTAAATAACTGTGCAGTATAAGATGTACACAACCATTATAATAGTAGCGTATATTGGAGTCTCAACACCGATCTTCTTCCTGTGTCATACTCTCTGGTATGTAAAATAACAGTAAAATTAGAGGAAAGAATTCTTCCATGCAGCCTCAGTTTTCTTTTTTTAATTAACGTAGCAGTTACGTATTTGATTAAATCAAAGATTACGAGCATTTCCTCTTACACTCTTAACCAGAGATGTATCCTGTGATAAAATTAGAAGGTATCTGAGCACAGTCTATAAATAGAAAGCCACTGAACGGATATCATGCTATGTGTTCTTGTAATGCAAATAAAACCTGGTTTAAAATCCCAGGTAAATGTTCTAACCTATCTTACCTGCTCCCCATTGCACTTTTAAAATACATGCATGGGCCTCTGAACACAGCAACCTCTTACTGACCCCGTACAAAGCCAACGAGTCTTACCAGTCTGCCATGGGGCATTTCATACCCTCCACCACAAGGCCTTGATGCCAGCACCTCAAGGCCTTCTGTGTGTCTCTGGTTGCAACACAGTCTGCTTTCCCATCATTCACCATGAAGTCCTAAATGATTCTGCCGAGGATCCCAGAGAGCCCTGGCAAACTCCAAAGCCTCTGAACCAGACGAGCCGAGGGTGGACACTGGGGGAGAAAATATTCACAGTCAACAGATATGCTATAAATCTTATTACCACATCAGAGTTGGTCCTGCATACATTTCATATCAGTGGCAGAGTGACATGATGCTGTAGCTTCAGTCTTTCTGACTGCAAAACCATGGTGGAATAAGGCCTGCTCTGGAACTTTATTTGGATGAACAGCTCAGATATTGAGATATGATTATATGAGGCAGATCCGGTACATTAGCAGTGGTGGAAGAAGCACAGAGATATTTTACTGGTAAGAATAGCGATAAAACAGCATAAAAATACTAAATTGAAAAAAGTGCTGCACTCAAAATCTCACTCTCAAAAAATACAAAGAATACAATTATATCATATGTAATTCAATTATTATTGCAGCTGAGCTCCTTTTGCAGGATCATATTGTCAAATTGATAATTTTGGATCGGCATAACTATAACTTATGTCAAATACACCAATGATTATAGGTAAAGTAAAAATCTATCATCTATTCTCCCCTATCTCTCCATGATGGGCTTATTAAATGTTTAGGCTACATTTGAATGATTCAACCGAGTAAAATTCAATTTTGTATCAATACAATTGCACAGGCTACGTTTATTGGGAATGTTAAGAGAACATGTATAGGATCAGTGCTGTTAAGACTACTATCACATATTAAAAATAGGCTATTACAGAATTGTGAAGTATGCTGTAACTGTCTCCATGGTTACACCGAAAGTTTGTTCCCGTTAGACTAACGTAGCCGGCTTCGTGAATCGACGTTGCTCTTTTTTTCTGCGCAGTTTCTAAGGGGGGTAAGTTAAACGCCGTAACTAGCGGCGCATTGACGCACTTCTCCTGTGTTTTTTATGAATAAAACGTTTACGAACACGTCGTTGTACAGTGTGAAACTCGATTCAGAATGGAGACTTTACGTTGACTTAACTTAATGGACGGAGCCGAGGGGGAAACACACACCGGCGAGAGAGAGGGTTACCAAGGTAGTGACGACGCGCAGGACGTGGAGACAGCGGAGGGAGAGAGTAATAGCAGTAAGAGAGAGAGAGAGAGAGAGACCTCTGAAATCCTGTAACAATAATAATAACGTTATGAAGTTTAATTTAATTTAAGGCTGAGAGAAGTGGCTGCGCACTGAGGTTACCTTTGCGCATGGACTGAAATCACCTGCAGGCTCGTTGCTGACTTGATGAAGACCCTTTCTAATTCTGGACAGGTGAGTCTCTCTCACCTTCAGCCTGCAGGTTGTGACACTGCAAACTGTAGTTGCATGAGTTTGTTTGTCTACAAAACCAAACATCTTTTTTGGACTGTGGAATCACCTCTCCGGGTTACGACCTTTTCGAAAAATAATAATCCTCTAATCAAGTTTAGGAAGATCTATTTTAATGTTGTTTTTAATTTAGAGAGGTGGTGAGTTTGTTTGTTTGTTTTTTGCCCTTTTTGACAGGTGACAGCAACTTACTGCCCAATGGAGAAATATGAAAAGCTGGCCAAAATTGGTGAGGGTTCCTACGGTGTGGTGTTCAAATGCAGACACAGAGATACTGGCCAGATAGTTGCCATCAAGAAGTTTGTGGAATCTGAAGATGACCCGGTCATTAAGAAGATTGCACTGCGAGAAATACGCATGCTGAAGGTGAGAAGAGATTGGTATTACCCCATAGTATCAAGTTTGCTCACATCTAACACCACAGGTGGACACGTGTACGCGCACAGGTACACATGCACTCATTAAGTTATATTTTTTGGGTTAGGAATGACCCATGCAGAGGGATTATTATAACTATACACTCACAAGTCATACACAAGGCAGTTTTAAAGAGCTTTACAGACACTTTAAAGGCACTATAGACAATAAATAAAGACATACAAGCAAATAACAGGGTCAGAGCTGATCTGTAGGTTTTTATTAAACATTTAAATAAATATTTTGGGCTGTTCAGCACTGACACGCTGTCACATCTTCTCTGTCGGCCCTGCAGCAGCTGAAACATGTGAATCTGGTCAACCTGCTGGAGGTCTTCAGGAGGAAGAGACGGCTCCACTTGGTGTTTGAGTTCTGTGAGCAGACGGTCCTCAATGAGCTGGACAAACACCCTCGAGGGTAGGTCGCAGGTTGCCTCGCAGCGGTTGAGACGTACAGCAGACATCAAGTGTTGTTTAGTAAGATCTGAATGTAACAGTTCAAGCTCTCTGAGTTGCTCCGAGGTAAAGCAGTGAGTTAAGGTACATACCAAAAGGCTATACATGGAAAATGTACGTTAATCTTTCACTTTCAGTGTTCAGAAGTCTGTTATCTATTTTGTTGGCACCTCTCTAAGAATTCATGACAAACGTGCAGAATTAATTAATTTACTTTTATTTACTTTTTTATTCTATTTATTTAGATTAGGATTGTACATATAAAACCTATGAGCAGTTTATAAAATATGATGCATTATTAAAGTTAAAGTTAAAATTAGCTCCCTTTTAACCAGCTACAACATTAAAATGTTGCTCATTTGTTAAATCAGAATCAGAATCAGAAATACTTTAATAATCCCAGGGGGAAATTATTTTTGTTACAAACTCCAGATATACAAACAACATATATTATACAAGCAACATCTATTAAGAACA